GCGGCATAATGACCGAGAAGTGTTTAAAACACATCTTAAGAGTGATTGCAGTTAGGTGATTGTTTAGTTCTACTTAACTGTTTCTCACGTTCTCGGGTCTTTATGGTATTTGTTGCGCTGTTACCAGTAAGGTCGTTTCGGGACGCAACGACTAGTAATGGGGGAATGTGACGGTCAGCTAGTCTCATACCTTATTATGCATCGTTGTTATCCTGGTAACAGACCTATACTGGAATTGCTCTCTTAATGATAGTGAATTGCTAGGGTTAGGTACCATACCTGTGGGTAAAGTGGATAACCACCTGTATGGGATACACTTAAGGTGTGTCTGGCGCCGTTAGCCACTGATGAGTCCCTGTGGTGAGGACGAAACACTACCTTGAGAGACGATTGGTGTTGAGATAACAGACCTTAAAGTCCAACCGATCCTTCGGGATCGGCAGAATATCCGTTCATTTGGCCAGCATCTCATTGAGCCCCTCAACCCTATTACCATACCGGCTGACTCCTACGTCGACCTTGACTTATTCCCCGATGGTTGGGTCGCGCCTGAGGATGAGGCCCCAGCGGACGGTCCAGCTGAGGAGCCGCCAGCTGAGCCCGTTGGCGAGGCAGCGGCTGAACTGGAGCATCAGCCGGTTGATGAGGCAGCAAATCCACTCGGTGCTGAGGCAGCAAACCTGCCAGCTGATGGGTCAGCAGGTCAACTCGTCGATGAGCCAGCACGTCAAGGTGCTGATGAGCCAGCAGGTCAACTCGCTGATGATCCAGCACGTCAAGCCCCTGACGAGCCAGCAGGTCAGCGCGCAGATGAGGTCGAGTCAAACTTGAGATTTGTCGAGAGTGCCAAGTCGTAGATAAGATCTCTGTTGTGAAATCCCATCGAATACGGGGTTGCGGGAGGTAGCACCGTGATTGGTCGGCCCGTCGGTATTTTCAACCGTAATGACCCAAACTGTTTGGGCCACACACGGTCCGACCACATCAGGTGCTACCAATGCCTTCAATTGATCTCGTGACCCCCACGTAGCTGCGCGAAGGGCCCACCTAAGATGGAAGCCGGACATACCTGTCCGGTTCTCCAAATGTTGGTGGGATCAGTATGAAGGCATCGCCATATTCAAGGGAATAAAAAAAAATTATTCCGGCCCGTCGAGGAACCCCTCGACTCTCGTGGTTGAGCTCGGCCTCACAGCCGTACTCAATCCACGTTGTAGACCTGTATGGTCCAACTCAAGGTTTGTTTCACCTTCGGTTCCCGCTTTGCAACACTCAAAAACCGTTTACGGGCGCGCGCACTTCACTTGTGTCATATGTCTTTCAAGGGTGCACCCCTCCTTGCGCGACATTTCACTCACACTACAGGACTGTTGTCCTTCCGCTCACCAAGATCGCGGTCGAGGATTCCGATGATACGATATCAAAAAACATGTCGAAAATGAAGATTTGTCAGCCTATGTTACGCTGGCGGAAGGCTTCCACTGGAAGCGGCAGCGCTGTCATGTGATGTCACCACAGAGTTTGTGGCACGAACAATGGTGTAGTCGATTTGAACAAGTCATTGAATAGTACACGTAGTAGAGAAACGAACACCTGAGCAGTCCTTGAAGTAATATCTGTCTCTGAGAATGGATTTACAAGTATGAAATGTGAGTTTTGCTTGACGATATATTGTGTTTAATCATCGAGAAAGTGGTGCGTTTGAGGGGGTGAGTAATACTGCTTCTTTAAATAAGAAAGACTCTTCTCTTCGGCGTCGTGAATTGCGTAACTCTCGCAATCCTGATGAAGATCTTGTGTCATGCATTACGAAGTATGATTTTAACAGAGGGAAACTCTGCTATTATAACTTAGTGTTGGGAAACTCAGTGTTGATAACCCCAGCCTCCTTCTTTCTCATGTTGACGGGATCCGATGGTATTCTGTCTCGTGGAGGCCAAGCGACTCTGTGATGATTTTGCTCTCCCTGACGTATCGTATCATGTCAGGTTTTGGTTATGCCCAAACTCATCACGGGTGTGGAATTTCTAGGGACGAGGGTGCCACGTTCACATCCACCTGCACATTGTGCAATGTACAGTCGTTGCCCTTGTCACTCTTCGTGGTGTGATGAGTGTCGGATAGAAAGCGAAATTTAGCCAGAAAACGATAGGGAGAAAGCTCGAAGTTCCATCCAGTAGGGTGAAGCACAGTGCTTCAACCACTCCTCACGGAAGAGTTGCTTCGCATTACAGGAGACTATCATAGTCTGACTGTATGAAGAGACACCGTTCGGTTACACAGGCCTCCTTTCAAGGTCTTTCCAGGAACTTCCGGAATGTCATAAACCAGCTGTGCTGAGAATGCGGGTAGTGAGAGCTAGTTTTCCCACTATAGCGCGACAGTCTTGCTGGAAGGATCGATGCCCTACAAAGGACGCGTATCCTCGTTCTATTTCTGTTGTGTTCCAGTATCATGATTCTCACGTTGAGGGAGCGTAGGACCGGATGCTATCTCGCTGCTCAGGGCAAATAGTATAAGTCTTGCACGAGACGACCATATGTTTCTTAGCTGATCTACCGGAATGTCTGAAGAGCCCTCGTCTTCATCATCGCAGGACGAAGTACGGCACTCTTCGGAGTGTTCAACTGGACACTGCTGTGTGGATACGGTACTGAAGGGTTTCGATAGGGCTCATTGTTTTTCGCTATTCGCTATCTAGTTGATACGTTCAATCGTGTTTGTAAGACTATGAAGAGCTAAACTACCTGCTAGATAGGTATTCCGAGTTCAGATACAGCACCGCCGACAGAGAAATCGACAGTGCAAGGGGCCCCGAGTTGCTATGGTATCGGATTTTTTCTACCCTGGACTTGGTAATGAATCTACGACGGTCTACCTCGCGTACTTGGATTATACAATCCATCGTTTGGGTCGATGCTTTGATATGAGTACCTTCTCGTACTCACTGGAAGCCGTGTCGGGTCAGGTGGCGTCGAGATGCATATCTATCAGCTGAGCCAATGCCTCATGGATCTAGGGTTTTTCGTCATAGTTATTACTCACTATCGAGGAGATAGAATAGGAGTAAGCCACTGAGTAATGGGCTCGCTCAAGCATATGTGGACCACCTCATCTGGTGACGTTTTCAGGTCAGATATATGACCAATGGGTTGAAGGCGTACTACCTTCCATACAAGACTTTCGTTGACCAGTGTACAGCATAGGCATTATCGCTCACTCTACGTCCCTCGTCGACTCAGGTACACCCCCGGCTTTCATAACATATTTCGGTCTGATGCGGCAGATTCTAATTCGAGAACGTATCGATATAGTATGGCCGAGTTTCCGGCTCCACAGTGCTACGGTGTATCCATAGGTACACGGCCATCAGGCTACCTCCGCGTTGTGTCAAGAGATGTGCTTCCATGCTCGAACGATGGGCTATAAAACAGTAGATGATGGTTCATCTCGCCTCTTCCTCTGATCTCGACGGTGTTAGGTCTACACTGATCACAGTCTGTTCGGTTTTGGCGATGCGGCGTGCATTGCAATCAACAAGGTGCTGAAAGTATTTTTGACAGACGTAAGAAATGCGGGGCTTTTCGAGCGGTTATGTCCCTAGTTTTCCTAGGTTCATCATTGCATTTGCGTTTCGCACACGAACAAGGAGAATCTGATCCTGCGGGCAGCAATTCGTCCTGATGACGTCAGCGTAGGACTCCAACGGGAGGGTGCCGGTTTGGACGACGCCGAGGCTCTATCGTAGGTTATCCCGAATGCTGTTGATGCTTCTCGGTTTACACCCAACCCATCACCGAGAGTTGGTCCGCTGCAGCACGACTCGGTAAGCTCCTCTGACCACCATACGTATGGGGTATCATTGTAGCCAACTGCTCAAAATCACTAGTGTAGGTGCTGAGAATGATTCCGCTCCTCAGGTTACAATTGTTGTTGTATCGCGACTCACTTTCCGTAAGGGAATTGATATCCTCATCGATGTGATGCCGGAGATCAGCCGGCGGTTCCCCCATGTGAGTTTCTGATTGCTCCTAGTTGGGAGAGTCACACCACCATTTCAAGGTGCACTGGATCATCGCGGGTGATGGACCGAAACGAATGGACATCGAACAAATGTTGGAGCGGCACAAGCTACACGATAGGACTGAGCTT